CGAACCCCCCGATAGTGAACCCAAATGTACGCGTATTTCGCATTACAGTCGCAAACGTAAGCCATTCCCGAAACTCCCGGTCCGTCATATCCCGGGTATTCATTGCATTCAATGAATCCCTAATTGTAATGAATTTATTTCTAATATCTCCACAAATTAAACATGTTACAATTAAATCCACAATACAATTAACAACAACGAAGTACCAAGTGTATATAAATTTCATTGAATAACTTCCCTTTATATGAATAGCCATACTATAGACCGATGTCATGACAATCATAATTAATACTAACATCCGGACTGTTAAGACAATTGACAGATCTTTGTCAATTTTGTTAATTGTGTTAATTATTAGCATAATGTCCTGTTTTAGTTTAATAATCGTTTCAAGACCTAATAATGATAAATAAATTAAAATTAAAAACATATTGAACCATAAATGTAATATAAAACAATAATTTTTAGATTAATATACATGTTTAATATACATGATTAATGTACTATGCTCATATTAATTTAATTAATTTAATACTGCATTTGTTAGTTATCTATAGGAAAATTTTTTTATTAAAAATACAGATATAATTACCGTTTATATCATTTAACATATGATTAATTTTGTCAAGAATATTTGCCACATAAAGTGAAATAATCCAGATAATAATTGACATCATTTGATAAATTACAAATAAAACCAAATTATGTATTAAATGTATTAATGCTGCACTCTCAAACTTGAACCTTATAAATGTTATTATTGTTACAAATGTACTTGTTAATAGATAAATCAAGTAAAATATGAATACTAAAATAATCGCTTTGGTACATTTAAATTGAAAATTTGATAACAAATTATAATGAATTATTTCTACTAGATTAAACCCTGTTTTGTTATTTAGTAAAATTATTGTTAATAACTCTACCACCATCAATATCATAAAAGTTGCCGTAAATAGTTTATTATACATTCCTTGCTGGATACTATTCAAATTTCCGACAAATATATTGCAATAAATTTGATAAATATTTACAATTACTATTATCAACGTCATAATATAGCCGTATAGTTGATACAATCTATTTCTACCTAACCTCCCGGTGCGGCGATCAATGGTTAGGCCACCAAATGATAGGCCATACAACCGGTGAAACCAGAGCATAGCCAACGATATTAACAATAAATATTTTGCAGTTAAACAACTCATTATTATAAATAAATTGTGATTATGATAAATAAATACTGTAGTTTCATCTATTACTTTTTAGTAATGTATAGATTTATATGTTTCATAATAAAATAGAACTTAATTTTCTAGATAATAAAAAATAAAATACATTTCAATCATATAATTATAATCTAATTATATTTTGACAATCATTATAATATGTTTTTTCGTGGAATATTTTTACTTGTTTACATGAAAACATGTCAATTAATCACTTTAACATACTGAACTAAATTAATAATATTAGTTATAATAAATTGTATTGAAAATATATTATTAAATTAATATATTTAAATGACTAAAACAACTATTACAAATTACTTCAAAACATGTCAATTAATCACTTTCACATATTGTTCTAAATTATTAATATAATAATTGATTTTTCTAAAAAATTGTTATTAAAATAATATGTTTAAATGTATAAACAACTATTATAAATTAGAAAACATATAACATATAACATATAACATATAACATATAACATATAACATATATATTAATTATTCAAAAAATTTTGATTAAATTGAATAATTAATTAATTGGTAATATTGGTATTTTATAGACTATGTAGTTTATGATACTAAGTATTCAAATTGTATTATGTAAGATTATAAAATAATATTAATAACAATTATGTTATTTTTATGCGTAATAAATATAATGTAGCTGCAAAATTAATTTTAAAAATGTTTTTAATAATAACTTTTATTGATTGCAGTGCAATAACATAGTACCGCACTGCTTTTAAAGTAACTGTCCAATTACAAAATATTTTATATCACATGTACATCATAAGGATATTATAAATTTTGCAATTAGTTTATCACTAAATGAAACCGCAGGTGCACTATTACAACACAAATAGATAATAGATTTCAATGGTATATAAGCACAGGTAGTTTTCAAATGGAAAGTCATAATCACAAACCATTGGTGTTAGGCGTCAACAGTGTTTGAACATAGCATCGGAATTAAGTTATTTCCCAAACATTCAAATTTCATACTATTTTTTGTTTTGCAAATAAATTTCTTTATTTGAAATTGTTTTAATTGATTTGTGATAATAATAACTAATTGTAAGCCATGTCTAAAAGTCAAGTGAGACAAAACTTTCATCAGGACTCTGAGGCCGGTATTAACAAACAGATTAATCTGGAACTACACGCCAGCTATGTGTACGAACAACTGGTATGACTTCCCCTCTCATTATATACTTCATACAGAATATTCTGTAATACCCGGAATATGTATAATAGCACCATTTTTAGACCCAGTATTCATAAAATATATTTAAACTCTAATTTCATATGACCAAAAAATACTATTTGATCTTAGCATGGTAATATGAAAGCAATGTCGAAGTATCAGTTTTGATTATTGAGTCCAAGTTTATAATAACTATATTATTCTCTCATAAAATATTGTGCATAAATACAGAATATTTACTCTATATTATTTATATAAGTTACTTTAAATATCATACTCATTAACATTATCATTTTTGTGGTCAACCTGTTAGGCCTGGAATTTTGACCGGGATGACATAGCACTGGGAGGTTTCCACGAGTTCTACAAGAACAGGGCCGGGGAGG